AGCACCATGGGCTGTATAAGGCCAGGAGAAGATTTGTCCCGTGTTACTGAATCAGAGAGAAATACTTAAACACCCGTTAATATTTGTATCTGCCAGAAGGGTTATTCACAGTGTAATGTACTAGTCAACATAGGGTCACTGTCAGCCACAATAGGAAACTCAGTTTTCTTTTTCTCCTTGTGTGCTGCTCTCTATATTTCTTTCCCCCCAGTGTATGTTTTCTGAAGTGTGAGTGTAATTAGTGAAGATGGAATTTTCAGGGGTGGGTGTGTAGGATCTGATACATCCGGGGCGACAAGGGGACATGGCTGTTGCGAGGCTGTTGCACCTGCTATAAGTAATTAAGGCTCATTAGAGCAGGGACTTGAGTCCCCTGAATCCCAGAGAGTGTCTTAACCCCTGGGCCGTAGAATGAGTCACTTTCTTGCTCTCTCTGGCCCAGTACATATCACCAGCTAGGGTGACCAGACAGCAAGTGCGAAAAATCAGGACAGGGGATGGGAGTGGGGGTAATAGGAGCCTATATAAGAAAAGGACTCCCAAATCGGGACTGTCCCTAGAAAATCAGGACATCTGGTCACCCTATCACCAGCTAGATACCTAGGGGATTTCGGTGCCTACAGGGTGCAGGCTTTGAGGATCTTGGTGGCATGTCCGATTTAGTCTCATAAGGCGGCAGCTAGGTGCTGGATTCCCTTTGTGGTGGATCTTGCCCTGAACACTCATTGAAAGCCCCTGGCAGGTGGCTGTCCAGCGCTCCTAGGCTCCGTCCGGAATTCAAACCTGTCTGCCCAGGCTGAGGGTCTGTAAAGCTCTATGATAGGAATGAGGTGTCCATATGGATTCGGCAGCTTAGCAAAACCTCAGCCTGGCTGTTAAAAAGGGGTTTAAAATACCGTGTGTTCACACACTTTCCTGTCGGTTCTCTCAGCCTGGGCTATTGGGAGGTGGAGGGGGGTGAGGAAAGGCGGGGAGGGATGGAGTCAGGGGCACAGAGTATATTGGGGGAAAGGGAAAGTTGTGGGCTGGTTTCTGCTCACAGTGCGGTTAGTCTGTGTCTGCATCTGTGTGTGTGAGAGTCACAGACAGGCAGCTGCGGACAGGAGTTTTCTCGCTCTCTGTTTCTCTGCTGCGAGCTGTAGAACTCCAGCGCCCCCAGCGGAGAGTTTGTCCTTAGACAGCGAGGGCAGGTTTTTGTCTGAGCTCAGACCAGCTTCCTCACACTGTGTGTCGCACACAGTAATACCGGGCGGTGTCCTCGGGCTTCAGGCCGGTCATGTCCAAATGCAGCCGGTTGTTGGAATCGTCCCTGGAGATGGTGAATCGGCCTTTCACCGAGTCTGCGTAATAATAGTGGTTCCATACATCCCAATAAATGCGTGAGACCCACTCCAGCCCCTTCCCGGGAGCCTGCCGGACCCAGTGCATCCCGTAGTCCCCAACTTTGAACCCGGAGGCTTTGCAGGAGAGGTGGAGAGAGTCTCCGGGCTTTTTCACATCCCCTCCGGACTCCACCAGTGCCTGGGACCGGACACCTGGGAATAGAAACACATTGTAATTCGTATTAAGAGCAATTAATAGACTGTCCCCCGGCCACGCCAATGCGTGTGAGGGGCGAAAATACCTTCCAAAGCCACTGCAAGGAACACTACATGGAGCCAAAGCCTCATTTTCCCGGGTGCTGGAGGGGAAAGTTCTCAGGGGACTGGCTGGTCACTGCACAGACCCAGGGGCTGCGGATTGTGTCTCCGGTGCAGCCTGGGCAGAGAGAGGCACAGATTTAAACAGGAAACTGTCTCCTTGATTTGCATATCCTGCTCCTTATTAGAGACACAAACTCCTTCCCTGGGTGATCTCATTTCTTGCCCTCCGATTCCGGGAGAAGTGTGTGTGTGTATGGGGAGGGGGCGGGAATGTGTGTAGCGCTCTGACCCAAATCTCACTGAAACCCAATTGGATGTTTAAGTGGCTTCAATTAATATCGTATCAGGTCCCATGTGTTTGTGTGGAGTCCTGCACAATGGGAACCTGGTGCTGACTGGCTCCGGAAAGGGGCTTTGTCAAAAAGCAGAGGAAGGGGGAGTGAGGGATTTTGGCATAAAAGAGAGAAAGGGAGCTGCAGCCCTGCTAATGACAGCCCAGTGCCCCTAGTTCCCTGTGAATCATTATTATCATCTTCATCATCATCATAGTCATCTTCATCCTCCTCTTCATCCCCATCTTCGGCGCATTCTCAAACTTTACCAGCAAAAATTTTAGATAATCGTTCTCGATAGTTCCTCATCTCTCACAAGGGGACAGCAGCATTTCCCTGTCTCACAAAGGTGTTGTGAAAGCAACTACATCACAGACTGTGAGGGGCTAATGTATTACCGTTATTGGGGCCCTAGAAAAGCCTGTGATAAGACCAAGAGTCCTGAATCACTATTATTCTTCTATAATATTACACTGAATAATAATAATAGTAATTAATAATAATTATTAATAATTTATTATCTCTATTGTGGTTGGGCCTGGGAGCCCCGTTTCGGATCCCAGTAGTCCAAGCACCAATCTCAGAACAAACAGACTTTCCCTCTCCCAAAGGTGTGTTTGTTGTATGTAATTTATTTTGCATCAGTCCCAGCACCTGGGGAGTGCGGAGGTGCTGGGTATGGGGGGGTAGGGTGGGGGGAGAAGGGGACCCCCCGGTGTGTCAATGGCAGGAGGACGATTTGGAAAAGCCCCCCTCATACATGTGCTCCTGTCCCTGTGGAAACATCCAAGTTGGGTAAATTCCCGGAACAGGAAGCTGGAGGTGACGGCGGGGATTGGTAGATTCCCTCTTTTCTCCTCGGCAGATTTTGGTGTTTGATCCCCACCGGAAGCGAATTGATTCTGAAAGCGACAGGACAGTTATTTGTCTGAGCTCAACCCGGCTTCCCTCCAGTGTGTGTCTCCCGCACAGTGATACCGGGCGGTGTCCTCGGGCTTCAGGCCGGTCATTTGCAGGTACAGCAGGTTGTTGGGGTTGTCAGTAATCGCTGAAGGGGAACCCGGAGGCTTTGCAGGAGAGGCAGAGAGAGTCTCCGGGATTTTTCACATCCCCTCCGGACTCCACCAGTGCCTGGGACCGGACACCTGCAAAGAAAGAAACAATGAGATCCCTGCAGACCTGGCTGCTAGTGAGATTGATACAAAACCTGGGGGCTCCCCAGTGTCTTCAGACAAACAATGCACCTGTGGAAACAGCTGAAATCAGAAGGAAATGGAGCCAGAATGCCATGTTCCGGACTGGGTTTTTGTTGTTGTTGGTGGTGGTGGTGGTTGTTGTTGTTGTTGTTGTTGTTGTTGTTTTTGCCTGGCACTGCACAGACACTGGCGGGTGGGGGGGAGGACAGAGCTGCGGGGTGAGGGGAAGGGCTGGCTTTAAAGAGGAAGCTGAGTGAGAGAATTTGCATCACCTGCTTTTTATGAGAGAGAAATAAATTATACCCACCTCCTCCCGCCCGGGGCGTTGCAGGGACTAGCAGAGTGAATAGCTGAGAGCGAGTTGGGAATCCCCCCTGCAGTGTTAGTGGGGCACTGAGGTAGTGGGGCGGTGATGTACAGATGGGATGTCTTTGAGCAATACGGGGATACTTCTAGAATAGTCAAAGGAGCTGAAGGGAGTTGGGCTTGGAGTGTGGGGCTGTCTTTAATTGAATACCACTGCAGAATGTATTACTAAGCGCTGAAAACGTCTTCTTAATCTTCTTCCTTCCGTTATAAGAAGAATGGGAGACAGTACATTAAACTCTGTCAATGCTGCACTAAGAGACAGAATCATTATTTATTATTATTCTACCAGCAACATAAAATTAGTGGGGATTTGGGGTCAGGATCCCCTCTGCTGTGAAAGTCGTAGCCCCAGAGGCGCCATGGTGCTCAGTCACGCTGTGAATATTATTTCCCAGGTTGGAGGCAGTGAGCTCAGGTGCCAGGCCCAGTTCCCGTAAGCGGTGGACGAACGTTTGCAGAGATTGGTTTGTAAAATCTGAGAGCTGGGGCTGAGCTATTCAAGGGTTTTTAGGGGAGACAGTAGCTCACTGGGTCTTTGAGTAGCGCCATGGGATATATAAGGCCGGAACAAGATTTGTCCCAGGTTAATGAATCATAGAGAAATACCTCAACACCCACTAATATTGGCTTCCACCAGACGGGTTATTCACTAGTGTATTCACTAGTCAACATAAGGGTATCACTGTCTGTTCCCTACTTCTGCTTGTAATGATCACTGCAAGCCACAATAAGAAACTCAGGTTTATTTCTCTCCTGGAATGCTGCTCTCTCTATTTTCCTTTGGTGTGTGGTTTCTGGGGTGTGAGTGTAGTTATTTAAGATGGAATTGTGTGTGTGCGGGGCGGGGTGTCTAGGAATGATACATTAAGGGCGAAGCTCACCAGGGGACATGGCTGAGGCAAGGCTGTTGCACTTGCTATAAGTAATTAATGCTCATTAGAGCAGGAATTTGAGTCTCCTCCTGAATCCCAGAGAGTGTCCTAACCCCTGGGCTGTAGAGTGACTCGCTTTCCTGCTCTCTCTGCCCCAGTACATGTCACCAGCCAGGCACCGAGGGGATTTCGGCGCCTACAGGGTGCAGGCTTTGAGGATCTCGGTGGCATGTCCGATTTAGTCACATAAGGTGGCAGGTAGGTGCTGAACTCCCTTTGTGGATCTAGCCCTGAACAAACATTGAAAGCCCCTGGCAGGTGGGTGTCCAGCGCTGCTAGGCTCCTTCCAGAATTCAAACCTGTCTGCCCAGGCTGCGGTTTTCTAGAGCTACCGAGGAATTATAATAGGCATGAGGTGCCAATATCTCTAGGGCAGCTTGGAAACCCTCCACCTGTGGGGGGGAGTTAAATAACGTGTTTTCATTCATACAATTTAATGTCGGTTCTCTCAGCCTGGGCTATTGGGAGGTGGAGGGGGTGAGGAAACGCGGGGAGGGGCGGAGTGAGGGGCACAGAGTGTATTGGGGGAAAGGGAAAGTTGCGGGCTGGTCTCTGCTAACAGTGTGGTTAGTCTGTCTGCATTTGTGTGTGTGAGAGTCACAGGGCTGGTCTAAACTGGGGGTTGGGGATCGATCCAAGATACGCAACTTCAGCTATGCAAATAGTGTAGCTGAAGTCGAAGTATCTTGGATCGAATTACCTGGGGTCCACACAGTGCGGGGTCGACGGCTGCGGCTCCCCAGTCGACTGCGCTACCGCCGCTCGCTCTGGTGGAGTTCCGGAGTCGACGTTGAGCACGTTCGGGGATCGATTGCTACCTGCCGATACGGCGGGTAGTGAAGACGTACCCACAGAAACACGGCTGAGGACAGGAGTTTTCTCGCTCACTGCTCTGCGCTGCGAGCTGTAGAACTCCAGTGCCCCCGAGCGGAGAGTTTGTCCTTAGACACCAAGGGCAGGTTTTTGTCTGAGCTCAGCCCGGATTCCCCTCACTGTGTGTCCCGCACAGTGATACCGGGCGGTGTCCTCGGGCTTCAGGCCGGTCATTTGCAGATACAGCAGGTTGTTGGAATTGTCTCTGGAGATGGTGAATCGGCCTTTTACTGAGTCTGTGTAATATTGTTGGCTCCCATCACTGTAAATGAGTGAAACCCATTCCAGTCCCTTCCCAGGAGCCTGTCGGACCCAGCTCATGTCGTAGCTGCTGAAGGTGAAGCCGGAGGCTTTGCAGGAGAGGCGGAGAGAGTCTCCAGGCTTTTTCACATCCCCTCCGGACTTCACCAGCACCTGGGACCGTGCACCTGGGAATAGAGAGATATTATACAACGCATTAATATTAAGAGCAACAATAGATTGTTCCCCTGCCACGCCAATAGGTGTGAGGGGAGAAAATACCTTCCAGAGCTGCTACAGTAAAAGTTAAATGGAGCCAAAGTCTCATTTTCCTGTTGGATTGGAAAGTTCTCAGGCGACTGGCTGGTAACTGCAGAGACACAGGGGGCCGTGTATTGTCTCTCTGGGTGCAGTTTGGGCAGAGAGAGGGACAGATTTAAACAGGAAAGTGTCTCTCCTATTTGCATATCCTGGTCCATCCTTATAAGAGACACACAAACTCCTTTCTGAGCAATCACCTGCTACAGGACAGGCCCAACAAGGAAAGTAACAGAACACCACTGGCCATCACCTACAGTCCCCAACTAAAACCTCTACAGCGTATTATCAACAATCTACAGCCTATCCTGGAGAGTGTTCCCTCCTCTCACAGACCTTGGGAGACAGGCCAGTCCTCGCTTACAGACAACCCCCAAACCTGAAGCAAATACCAGCAACTACACACCATACCACGGAAACACCAACCCAAGTTCAATCCTTGAGGGGGCCATTTAGGGAACTGGGGTAAAAACTGTCTGGGGATTGGTCCTGCTTTGAGCAGGGGGTTGGACTGGATGACCTCCT